ATATGTGCTCACAGCTGAAAGTGCAGAGTGTATTCAGTGGCATCGCGTTTCGAACCTTGAACATTTTGACCTACAACTTAGCACGGCCACGGTCAACTTTCAGAGAGTAGAATATAAAAATGTTGTCTCCAGAATCACATGTTTTTTACGAGTTCATATATTTGTTTACTTGTTTAGTTAGATAGCTGTTACAAGAAGATGTTACATATAGAATCACAATCTATTAAATACTCCAAGAAAAACTCGAATAAATTGTCCACAGTTGCTGGGCCTGTTAAGGCCAAGGGGTTAGGGCACTCGACTCGCAATCTGTGGGTCGCGGGTTCGAATCCCCGTTCCACCAAAGATGCCCGCCCTTTCAGCCATGGGAGCGTTATAAAGTAACGGTCAATCCCACTATTCGTTGGTAAAACAGTAGCCCAAGGGTTGGCAGTTGGTTGTGATGACTAGCTTCCTTTCCTCTAGTCTTTCACTACTAAATTAGGGACGGCTAGCGCAGATAGCCCTCTTGTAACTTAGCGCGAAATTCATAATAAACAAATAAACCACAGTTGCTGACTTGTCCTCCCAACTCTACATGTGACTAATGCTAAATGGTGTTATGTAAGTGCGTAATTCATTACATGGTTTATTCTAACAATTTAGTAACGACATAACTACACCATAACATAAAGTAGTTGCATTAAATTAAGTTTTATATTGCTATGTTTTACTTGAATTATTCGCACAAGCTGATAAAAAAAACAATTATCCACTATACATTTTCACTAGCTCCTCCTCTCTTCTCGTAAATATCACCTGGTTTTTAACATACAAGAGTTTTTGAAATGGAATACTCAGTAGTAGTCATTCAATAGCAAATTCCTTATATAAAAAAAAACTACCTTTGCATGCATTATTATCAGTGTAGATATAAATAAAGTGGACACTGTCGAGTTTTACATCGAATGCTTTATTGTTTTCAGTTTCGTTTACAGACAGTATTTACACACAATACTAAGCATATACAACTGTTACGTGTATAGACTACATACTGTTACGAAACAACTTTATATAATAATACGATATGGTCCAATAACACTTAAACACCACCTTGAACTTACAGTTCATACCAAGAAGGAATGTATACATCATATTTAATTATCTTTGTGTTCATAACAAGTATCTGAAACGGTAGAAAATACCAAATACGCTCCTCTAAATATCATTCTTAACAACAGATCTTACAAGAGATTCGAGAAAAATTAGAGATTACCTTTTTTTCTGGTTATTATTCATTTTTCGTTATTTTTACCGAGTTCGTTGAATGAAGGCGTTACAGTTACGTAATATCACTTACACTAATTTTATTGACTTTGTTCAATAATGGTGTTATAGTTACGTATTATCACGTACACTCATTCCGTTATTGTACCGAGTTTGTTGAATGAAGGTGTTACAGTTACGTAATATCACTTACACTAATTTTATTGACTTTGTTCAATAATGGTGTTATAGTTACGTATTATCACGTACACTCATTCCGTTATTGTACCGAGTTTGTTGAATGAAGGTGTTACAGTTGCGTAATATCACGTACACTAATTTTATTGACTTTGTTCAATAATGGTGTTATAGTTACGTATTATCACGTACACTCATTCCGTTATTGTACCGAGTTCGTTGAATGAAGGTGTTCCTCTTACGTAATATCACTTACACTAATTTTATTGACTTTGTTCAATAATGGTATTATAGTTACGTATTATCACGTAAAAAGTGGACATCATTATCTGATAACAAACAATTCATATAGATATGAACACTCTAGAGATTCTTCTAAAATATCAGCGCGGACTTGTTACTGAGTGTTCTTAATAATCAAGTCCAATTGTTGCCAGTTTACGTTCTATAAAAAGTATTGTAATTTGTAAACTCTTCCTTGGACAAGCACGGACTATGTAAACAGTCATTCCAGTTTCAGTCGAAGACCATGGAGCTGCACAGGAAAGTAAAATGTGAAAAATATTACTACTGGTTTGTTTGAAAAATATTGATAAAGAATATTTCCCAAAAATTACAATCAGTCATAATTTAATATCTCGCTTTTTAGATCGACAAAAACTGTCTGCTATCGTAAACATCTTACACATGGAATACTAAATTATAACATCCTGTTCCAAAATGACCGAAATAAGTTAGGTACAGTATCTGACTTGCTTATTCCAGGTTTCCTTACGTTAACAAACTGTTCGACTCGTTGACAATACTGTTTATATACTATGGGTTTCTTCTTACTCAACATTAAGCTCATTTCTCATATCGTTATGTCGAAGTTATAATATTATTTAAAGAAATCATGGTTATTTCAGTTTTAATCATATAATTGTACGAAATGTTTCTTTGTTTTAAACTGTTTCGTAATTTAAATGATTGCATTGTTATATGCTTAATCTTTGTCGTTTTTTCTTAGTTGTTTTAAAGTATAGTCGTGTAGAATTTGAAATATGAAAATTGTTTTTTCATGGTTCTGGTTATTTTCACACATAAACTAAAACGGTTTCATCGTAAACAAAAGGTTTTGTAACATCTAACTCTATCTTCCTACAAATAATTGTGGTTTTTATAATTCTATTATAACAAACACCCATTTAGCTTGCACTTTGTGACTGATTTTCGTAAGCCTTGTTATCAACCTACGAGGAACACATGATATAAAACTCATACACGGTGTTTATAAAGAAAACTCCATATTCAAAATGGTTATATCTTAAAACTTACTTCCCTATAGGAGAGAAAACTTTAACCAGAGGCACACTGATAACAAAAAGTTTTATTCAGAAAAGTTTGGACATGGTGTTACAGGGTGTTTCAAAACAATATTATATTGAATAACAAGATCGCTTTTTTTTCGCAAATTACAATTGTATATATTTCTATTCTTTTCTTTCCGTAATGATTTGAATGACGTACGTCTTAATGTGCCAGATATTGTGAGGATCTGTCCAGAATAGATGGTGTTACAATAGCTTTGTTTATGGAGATCGATTGATCTACTGACTGAGAATGACGGAAAGTAAATTAAACGCGTTTTTTTAAACACCCTGAACAATATTCAGATTTTTCTGTATAAAACCTATGATTCTTAATGTGCCTTTTGAAAAATGTAGTTGCACTAGAATAAGCAGATTTAAGACATAACCATTTTAGATTGTTAACCACCTTATTTATCTTCCCGGACAAAACTAACAAACATGTTTTAATGCTTTTCTTTGTAATAAATTCTGATGTATTCCTACAAATATCTCACTGACACTCAACAATAATGAATAATGGAATAAAAAAGGCAGTTTACAAAGCATGTAATCATATATAAAAGGTGTTTAAGTACATTCATCTTATTCTGTTCCTAACATGATCGTCCGTTAATCCAAAACTAGTTCTATATAACGTTTTATATCCAAAAATCACACGTTTCATTCTCATCCATAGCTTTTAACTACAATCCATAGAAACTTATGCCTAATCAATTTTTATTTATTGCTACTACTATCCAGCTATTGCTAAGCAAATTATGGGCAATTGTTTATTGTTATTTTTATTGTGGTATATGTCTATTGCTAAGATACAATTTCGCATTTTTCTCATCAAGCAATTTAAAAAAAAGTACTTTCGAGAAACTATTCATTTTTAGAGTTCTTGTGTCTTTCTTACCAAAAATCTGGACGATATTTTTCTTTGCTAACAAATAACATAATCACGAATATATTTACAAAGCCTACGTATGTTATGTATAAGTTACATTTATAAGGGCAACATTTTCTGACAATATACGTATTTTTACGTTGTTAAATGTTACATTAGTGAAATTTTTTCAGCGCGTAATATGTAATGTTCATATACTGGATTTTCCTGAGACTATGAGAACGTTTCTTCCTTGTACGAATGTTATTTCATTATATTTGAATAAAGATATTGTGGAATGTCTGTATTTTACACAAGATTCTAATATTTTTAACACTACATGTGATAGTTTCGTCTTGGCGTTCCAAAATCTATTATTTAAAACATATAGCTGACGACAACAAAAATTATTCTTTCAGAAGAAAACAGGATTATTCGGAAAGGTTATTGGCAATGCTTTCAAAGCTTAAAGAGTATTTAGGTCTGGTAACTTATTATTTTGACTTTATATATCTTTAATATTATCTGCCTCCTCTCAAAAAAGAAAAAATGTCAAAGCGTTAGTTAGTACCGTTGCTCAGAATTGTTTTTTCTCAAGAAGAAGCTTCTTCAACGTTTGTAATTATAGAAAATGAGTTATTGTTTTTCAAGTTAAAGATTGTTTTTCTTTTTAACTTTCAAAAAACAAGTGTTTAGATAAAGAAGCGAAAATATCCCCCCAATTATAGAACAGTGCAAGAAGTAAGAAGTTTTGAATATTTTACATTTATACAACAACTGATTAATTATCTATAGCTTGAATAAATTCTTGCTGAAGTTATACAGCTTGAGCCTAAATAAGGCATCTTAAAATATTCAGTCTTTACTCTCGGGACCAGAGCACTCATCTTCGTCACATGGACTAATACCCCCATCTCTAGAACTTGTTGCTTCTTTGTTTCCCATGGCAACCGTCCAAGTGTTGGCTTGTGGAGTTGTTCCTGCTCTTTTCAGCAACGCCTCTGGCATATGAGAAGCAGGTTGAGGAAAGGTGCTGAGCATGGAAGGCCCAAAAATGGCGCTGTAATCAGGACGTAAATTTGCGCCGTGAAGACCAGATCCAGGAAAAAATCCACCATAAGGAGGCACTGTAGTCATAAGACCTCTAGGGACATGCGCAGACGGATAGGAACGACGAAAAGAGGGATTTCCAGAAAAGACTAGATGAGGAGTGTTTGGAATGGATGGGGAAACCGTTGAAAATACAGAAAGAAAGTTCTGTGTGGCTACCCCTGGTGGAGAGAAGGGTGACATAGAATGATTAGCAGATGCAGCAGACAAGCTTCCAGGAAAAACGGAATCGTTACGCTTTGATCGTGGAGTAAGAAGCTCTTTTGGAGCATCAGAAACAGGAGAATCGTCACTTCTTTCCAAAGGGTCGCTCTCTTTTTTTTTCTACTTCCCCAGCTTGAGAAGCAAGGAGCTTGTCAATTACTTGAAGCACGTCACCGTTGACCTGTTGCAACGCCAAGGTCAGGAAACTTCGGTTTTCTTTTGGAAAGATTCTAGAAAGAACATCAACGGGAGATTTTTCTTTATGTTTAGCCGAAGAACTGTTTTCTTTGTTTTTGGTGTTATTCGCCTGAATTTTCGGTTCCGTCCAATGAATAGCGGGGGTCGATGTTTCTTCAACCAGCGGGTCTGAAATTCTATCCAACTTCTGCGGAGAATAGCTGCTATTGGTCATTACTGATGTGGTTACGGGAAGCTGATGTTTGTCTTTAGGTTCTAAACTGGCCAAGTCGGTATCGGAGTCTGATTCGGTTTTTTCAGAGCACACTGACGCCTCTGGCTGCAAGACTTCTTTTGGGTCATCAGGATTTGTTGTTGGAATGTCCAGAGAAAGTCTTGGCCGTTTCCAGTCTGGAATCAAGCAAATACAATGTAATAAATGTCTTCCTGAACTAAAACATACTTATAAAAGCATCAAATTGACAACATTGAAGCAAAATATATGTTAAAAGGAGAAGATAATTTGACGAAAACATGTCTAATTTATTCTGAATTTATATATGATTTTAAAGAGACATCTAACAGGTTGAACGTATTTTATGATGCTGCATTAAAGATAATATACTACATAAGAATACGGAAAATTGCGACAAGTGAGTAAAATAAAATTATGTCACAACTAATTGGACAGATGTGCACCTCCAACACCACTTCACTGCGAAAACAAATTACAATAACCCAAAAAGTACCTGGGAAATTTCAAGATACATTTTATTTTCGCGTTGCTCGAACATACTAATGGTTATTATTTTTAGACGTTTATCTTTCCAATGATATTTCGTTCATAACTTGAAGATAGTTTTGTTGTTTTTCTACCACCTACAAAATTTTTCTTTTTACTGTCAGCGCCTTCAAGGATTTGATTCCTTGTCCATGCCAACGAGTTGACACACACAACAGATGATCTTACCAACGAAGACAGACGCCTAGTGGTTAACGTGTCAGACTGTGAATCGAAGGGTTCCATGATTCGCGTCCCATTACCACAAAAATCGCGCTCCGCACCTTTGGGCCGTAGGTGTTTTACAAGAACGACGGCCAAATCCCATTAAAGTAGCTCAAAAGTTGGCGATGGACTCGATTGACTAGCTACATTCCCTCTAGACTATCAGTGTGAAATTAGGGACAGCTAGCGCAGACAATCCTTATGTAGCTAAGCGCGAATATTCCAAACAAACAAGCAAAAGTTGGAAATAGAGCTTAAGGGTGAATCTTCGTTTCTAAGTATCTATGTTGTGTTAAAATCAAAATGGAATCACACTCGCTGCCCATGATAGTAGATCAGTAATAAGCCGACCAGTTTATTAACTAGCTATTCATAAAGTTATCATTTAAGCATTTTGTTTCGCCCTTGAGAATGTTCCTAGTGATGAATCTCAAAGGGAAAGTCATATAAATTTCAGGAAAAATAGAATAAAACTATTTTAATGTAAGAACCGTTATGGTCATCAAGTGAAAATACATTCAGCACTTGGTGTAGTCCTACTGCCGAAACAGACTATAGCATTTGTTTGACATTTTTTTAAGGTTCTTCCACTGCAGTTTTTTAACTTTTTACTTCAAGCTATTTTATACTGATACACTATCGGGATGAAACTGTAGAATGTAATAAATAATAACATTTAAAACAACAGATCGTAGGTTAATTACGTTTCTCAACGTTTTAGGTATAAGCCTAAACCTCAGTTAATAAACACGTTCTATATAACAGTCAAATTATCATTATGCTATGTCATACCGAAAAACGGTTATATCAGTGCTAATTAACAGTACAAAGGACATTAAAAACGGAATTAATTCAGGAAACAATTTTAAAACGGATAATAAGTACCAAACGTGGATAATCTCAAGTTTCTCTAATTAACAGTTTTGACTTCTAATCGTGTACACGCCAGCTTTGAGACTCACAGTTAATGAATAATTAACCGTATACCACGAAACTGGTTTGTATATATATATATATAAAGAAGAAATACAATTTTAATCAAAAACTTTACACATAAGTGTAAACCTGTGTACTTGTGCGTATCAGTGGAGTTGGTTTCGAAAATGAAAACGAAAAGTTTTTTACTGATAATATTGGGTTTAAAGTGGGAAAATATAAAACTAAAAAAACATCTGAGATTATTTCGTGAAAGTTTTTTTATCTTAGAAATTATAACTAGTGAAAGAAGAACAAACTCTATAAAAACATTAAAAAAATTAGAGAAGGTTTAGTCTTAGATATTGTCAATAAATATCCAGCTAAATAGTCATTAAAACTTCTGTTTTTGAAATTTCAAAAATACATTCATAATAAAACCGTCGAATTTTCCAAAGATGTAGAAAGCGTCGTAAAATGTCAGAACCAGAGGAGGTAGGGAAGAATTTGACTGTTGCAGAACAAGAGACGCTGAAAATAAAACGCTAAAGTTTACTGTCTCAGAACTCCAAAGCAGGACCTTTTAAATCAGTGAATACTGGCAGGAACAATCGTCAATAAAAGAACCCACTAGACCATCAGGCCAGGAAGTGACGTTTATAGCCTGCTATCCAGTGATATAGCTACGTGAATGGCGCAATAACCAAGTAGCAAAAGTCGAGTGCACGTGCACGTGTGGGATTGATCGTCTGCACTCACGAGACCTGAACACGTTGGTAATAAATTAGATAAGCGATTCTGTTTCATCACCGACATACCTGAGTAAAGCGATAAGTATTTTATTATGATCCCCATCGGAAAATAATATGCTATGCTAAATTACAGTTATAATTTTTTTTAGTGTGGGGGGGGGGCATTTTTCAAGCTTTGTCAAGACTTACCAAAGCATTCACCAGGATGTAGTCGCCTGATCTTGTAAGGATCTTAATATTTGACCACCATATACATTAAAACACCATGTGAACTAGTGTCTTATTTTTGAGCGTGAAACTGTATTCCTAAGAGTGTCTGACATGATAAGTGAGGTATTGAAAATTCAGACACTCTTATTCTTCATTAAAACATTGAAACGCTTTGTTCATGGGTCCACTAGGTTGTTTTAGTGACATTGATTAAAAAAGAATGGCTTATAATAAGAATTTCGAATTGTATTTTAAAGATAATGTTACAGTATTCATACCATGCACTTGAGTAAAGAGATGTGCTAAATACTGCTTGATGTTAACACCAACCTTACAAAGGGAGTAAGTAGCCTTCAGTACTATACAGTGTTAAGATCATGTTCATTGTTACCTGGTGTTAATCTAGAAGGCGTCCACAAGGTTTGGGACCATAACTTTTTTTCAGATAGGAACAGCCTTATCAAAAGAAAAAAGAAATGGGATGACATTACTCTATAAAAGTAGGTTTTATGGAGATTATTTCAAAAATTGATAATATAACCTATGGTTCTAAACTTCGTGAACACCCTGTACTTTGTAAAGGCAGTCGCAGCCAGCCACATAATGTGTTATTCACGTAAAAGCAATAGCTACTAATATTATCTAATTAAGTACCATTGTCACGTAGTGTAGTGACTTTATTTTAAATAGATGGAAACAAGTTAGATAAATATTATGGATAACCATATACAAATGTTATTATTTTAAAATGGATTAATGAATTTGAATGAAATATGTCAATTATTAGAACATATACATCTAAGTAAACAATTATGAACGACTAAGAGTGGTGTTGGTGTTGATCTTTGCAGTGCGAAGCTATACAAAGGCTATCTTCTCCTCGTCCACAAAGGGAAATCAAACTCCGGATTTTAACGTTGTAAATCCACCGCTGGCCCACTAGTGGAATCGAGTAAAATGATTAAATTTTGAATTGTTGAGAGCGACAGAAAAATATTTGTTGTTTACATTGATAAACAAAGTTCAAAGTACGTAGAGTTTAACGTTTATTACTTTTATTTCGAAATTTACATTATTTCATGAATCTTCACGTCACAAGCGTGCGATCAGCACGTGCCTTTGTAAATAACCGATTATAATGGCCCCCACGTACGCTGCAAAAGCTATACTAATCTCGGACGTTCCCATCCCATCAAATATGCACCACAAACTGTTAATTAAATTTCCCTTGTAATTCCAAGAATGCCAAAGTGCGACACTAAAACGGGGTGCGAAATAGTCTTTGTATAAAGTAATCTTACTTGAAAAGACGTCTTTGTTAAATAAATAGATAGTACGAACAATATTTGCGCGTGCGTCTATATAAGCCAGTTTCATAAATACACAGAACTGTCTAGCACATAGTAACATTTCATTAACGTAAGCACGCGTATCGCGCGATTCCTCCCGCAGTTCGTGCTATGGCCGCATGCGTGCTGTAACGACGGATAGCGCTTCTGTCGTAGATCATAACAAAATTTCGTTCATTAAAGTAACTACGACAGTTTATCCTGACGGTTTTAATAGTGGAAAATTGTCACTGAGATCGACGAACGGTTATAGAGAATAGCCGTAAAATAAGACAGGATGGAATTCCAGTTGCTCTTTGTGTAGCTGTCCATTATTAAATTTTTGGCGTGACTTTGATATGAACTTTTGCGCCAGTCCATTTATCAGCACTGTGAATGTAGTTGATAGAGAATCGGACAGATCGCGCGCCTTCGTCCAGGTACTGGCGTTTCATTGCGGTTACATACACATCATTAATATTGCATTTTATGACTGGCACATCTCGCGTGTCATGTGCCACAGCCATAACAATAGTCGAAGAGCGTTCTGGTATGCATTCTCGTTCGCTAAGGCGTGACAATCCGTAAGGTTATTAAAGCTTGGAATCTCTAAGAGGAATATAGATTATCTTCCAAGACGACAAAAATACTCCAAAAGTCCATGCGTAAAGCCGCCTTTATTGCGGTCCTTCAAAAACTTCAATGACTTTTCAAACTCATTACTTACCGCTTTGTTCGCTGAAGTTCTTCAGCACATACGGTCTTTGTGAGCCTTATAATTGTGACAAATTGAGCTGAAGAAGGCGCCATTTACTTATGATTTATTGCATCTTAAACAACGCATCCTTGTCAAAGGTTACTCTATATCTACCCTTATTAATAAATAAAGAGTACACTCAACCTTTAGATAGATCGATATATATAAATAGCTAGAGATTCATAAATACATATATTGAAAAAGAAGGAAACTGTTGCACCAAAACATATAACTCCTGTAATAGTTCACTTCTGATTATTCTTGTTTTTTAATCTTGTACATTTTTTTGCTACCAATGTATAGCTATTGTTTGGAAATTGAACTACTGCTAAGTGTTATGAATTAAAAAAAAAAAAGATTGTTACACTTTATACGTTCTTCTTTTTCTCCTGATGTTTATAAGATGATTTACAAATACGTCATCATTTTACACAGCCTACCTA